ATACATTTCCCAATCGGTGGATAGGGAGGAGAGGATCGATTGAATGGCCAGCGCGATCACCTGATCTATCATCATTAGATTTAATTTGAATTGGAAGGTGGGGCTGGCATTTTTACGTTAAAAAATGTAAAATTATAATTCACATTTGACGTGTTTCGGGATTTTTTTTAATATGTAGAGTAACCGAAATAATGAATTTATTTCGTTTGGCTTTTACACACTGTATAATTGAACATCGCCTTTTCGATTCATTTTGAAAAATATATTTTTTAGAATTTTAACGCCTTCTTCACTTTTTGTCAAATTTGTCGACTAGTATTCTTTTACCCGCCCCAAAATCCTGTTTTGTGTAATTGGCAACATGCAAAATTCTATTTTTGTTGAATTTCATGAGCCACCAATACAAGTGACAATTGAGAAAAATAGCTGAAAATAACAATCATATTGAGCAAAAAACCCTGAAATGAAATCAAAGTGGAATGAAACACAAGCAAAAAATTTCAAATTGAACAATTGAACAAAAAAAACGAAAATTGAGATTTCAAGCCAGGTTACTTCGCACTGGAGGTTCGAACTAATGAAATTATGAAACATTATCAACCACCTTCAAAAAATTCTCGTTTTGTTTATCTAGCCTCTCCAGGAAGATGTGTCTGAAGATGTGTGATCCAATGGGCAGTAAACTCCAAATTTTATTCGATTCCTTCTACCATCCTTTTTGATAAAAGATTGCATCGGTGTATAAGTATATCCCTTTTCAATCTTGCAGTTAAAAATAATAATTTCCCTGAATTATGGAAGATATCACGAGCTTGTCCCATTTTTAAGACTGGAGATTCATCTGATAATTGGAATTATCGTCCCATCTCAATCCTATCGAAATTTGCTAAACTTCTCGAAATTGTCATCTATAATCACGTACATATTCCCTCAGTTCGTAATATCATATCTCCGCAACAACCTGACTTATGTCAAACAGATCCACAAAAACAAATTTAATTGTATTGACCCAAAATGTTAGTGATGTATTAGATAATCGTGGTCGTTGATGTGATACATAGTGACTGATTTTGCTAAAGCATTTGATCGACTTGATCACATGATCCTTCTTCAAAAACTCCATCAATTTCGTTTCCATAATTCAGCAGCACTTTTCCTCAAATCCTACTTACTTCAACGCGAACAGTTTGTATCTTATAACGACTATGATTCTTTTTATTACAATCCCTCATCTGGAGTACCTCAGGGGTCAAATCTCGGACCACTTCTGTTCTTATTATTCATTAATATTCATTAATAAGTTATTTTTGCAGATGATTTGAAAATATATTAACCTGTCGAAACTATGAAAGACTGTAATACTTTGCAACGACAGTTAGAAAATATACAGACTAGGTATGAATTTAACAATGCATCCAAATGTGAAGTAGTGTCTTATAGTAGAAAAATATCAGTCATCGAGTACAATTATCAAGTAGATACCATTTCCACTGTCACCAAGTAACTCAATTGAAGATCTTGGTGTATATTTTGATCGAAATTTGTTATTTTCCAACCACATCAGATCAAAAGTAAGTAAAGCATTGAGAGTTTATGGCTTGATAGTTCGAAATTGTAGATTTTTGTCGAACACATCTGCTCTACAAAAACTTTTGAGAGTCGACTGGCCAGAACCAATTTATACCTCAAGTCCCCTATATTGCATTTGCAATAATTTCAATTTAATTTCAAATGTGTGTAATATCAATTCATGGAGAATTCCTAATTTACTGGTATAGGTTTTTTATAAAGGCTATTATTATTATGTCCATAGGACAGTCTTGCTCTGCATAAACTTCTTTCCATAAGGGCGTTGCAGGTAACTTCTTCATCAAAGATAATAACTGGATACTCCACTTCCACTGCAGATGGAAAGACCTCAATTGACCAGATTCGTTTTTTTTATCAGAGTTACTCAAATAAAACCGCAGATCAAAGGTGTTATGTCTGTAGCTACATTTCTACTGTAGCTATCAACCAATTAATTTTTGGAATGTACTCACGCCACCAAGTTTCCCGCAGTATTCCAATTAAACCAATAATTTTCCTTTAGGGTCCTTAGTAACAAAGAACATCGATAATTTCAGTTTCACATAAATTGCGATTGTGCAGCGTCCGGAATTTCTTATTAGATCCTCGAAGACAAAGTGATAACTCCATTTTTCCCGGAAAATGGAACACTTCACCCTTTACTGGGAGTATCAGAGGATTATATTTGCCAGAAAATACAAAAGGAATGGGAAAAAAGCAGTAGATTAACAAATAAAGAGGAGATTTTAATAACATGTGACATGATAATTGTTGATACAGTTTTCATAATGAGTTACATAATAAATTCTCTGATAGTTCAAATATTGAATGTGGTGTTCCTCAGGGTTCAGTTCTTGGGCCAATCTTTTTCCTTGTTTATCTGAATGATCTCAGTAAACTCGACATTCGAGGATCATTCACAATGTTTGCGGATGATACCACATTACTGTGGCATGATAATAACGTTGAACTTCTGAAATCTAACATTTCCAAGGACTTAGAAAAGGTTCAACAATGGTGCGATGCAAACTTGCTTTGCTTCAACATTGATAAAACCAGTATANGATTGAATGAGTGGCATATGTGGAATTTGTTTTTCCATTCTGGAAACTATTTTTGTGTTCCTTCATGCGGGTTTTGAACGTTCTTCCAGTTTGACCTATATAAAATATACGACATGACCCACATGATAATTCAGACACTCCTGATTTTTCTGAAACTGAACATTCATCATTGGTATTCTTTATGTACATGCCTAAATTGTTTTTGGTTTTGAAAGCAATATTTACACTTTTGTGGTGCAGAAAATCTAAAATATTTGTAGTGATTTGACCTAAGTAGGTTGAGGTTCTATAACTTTTATTCTGGCCATAAAGTATTCTTGTTCTGCTGTGAAAAATTTAATTTAATTTCTCCCCAGCATTCTTATAACGGACTACAGGTGTGTATTACATAAAAGTTACTTAACCTACAAATATTACTTAAAAGATTAGTGGTGATACAAAAGTAAGGGTTATGAATATGTGAATTAAACAGAGTTCACTCAAATTCAACTGAAAATGTAGATCTCACCGTTTCCCATCAGCATCAGTTGGATCGTCTAAAAAACCGCCCTGTATATGAGTTTAGGATTCTACGTTTATCTATTGATTAATCACTGAGGTATGTTATTATACAAATTCACAACACTACGTAATGAAAGCTTCTCCAACGTCGATTTTTTTTAATCAACCATCTCACTCAGAATCTCATTCAAAAGCGTGAGGTAATTGGGTATCAACTATATAGTTTTTCAAAACAGAAAAAACTAATGATAGTTTGTGGTCGCTGGTCAAAACAAATAATTTGCATGTCTGGCTTTCTAATGAATGTGGCACACAAAGTTCATGGATTATCGGATATTACAATCAATGTATGGAATGCATGCAATTTGTTCGAGACACGACTGTTGAGAGACTTTTTTAAAAAAGCTTGTATTGTGGTGAATGTTTATTTTAACCTAATAAAATTGACGGTTTCGTTTAGCTGTGTCATTCAAAGGACATCACATTAGGTAAGAAGGACCAAACTCCAAAAAAGGCACACATTTTGAAAATCGACCTGTTGGCCATTGGTCTTTTTTTGTTTGAGACTTCTCTCTAGCATTTTCAATACCTATGTGTCTTGTAGACGGCAAACTTGGTATAATTTTCATATTCCAAGACTTTCACAACTTCAACTAAAATATTGTTAGGTTTTCCCCGTGGGTTGACCAATAGTTGCCTACACTGAACAATAATCGAACTTAACTTCATTTCACCTCAAATACAACAAACACTTCAACTAAAACTTCAACTACTAGATCGCTTCGCGTACCGCACTGTAACTTCCACTTGACTGTGTCGATATGCTCGTGACTAACATTTATATATCGTAATAAAATGCGCTAGAAAATTTCGCCGGAATTCCATCCAAATCGGTGGCATTATTCTCGCTGCATCTAAAGTGGCAGCACTCCTAGCTACGTCACAATTGGTTTATGGCTAACATAACAGTGTATCCCTTTCTGATAATTCTTCTATGCTATAATATCCCTTATTAGTTAATAGCTCCATTATTTGTTTTTTAAATGGTATGATACGCAAATCTTTGATATCTTGAGGCAAATTATTGAATAATATTATGCCATTACATGCAAGTGATTCCTCAAATGTTTTTGTTTTATGTTTTGGAATAGTTAATAAATGTCTATTTGGTGTTGCATGGTTATGAACTATTGATTCATATCTCAGATTGGGTACATTATTTTTCACATGGAGCTGAGCCTTATATACCTAGATACAAGGTAACTTTAGCATCTTGTTCTTACAGAAAGCAGGTCTACAGCTGAACCTGGTGCAATATTGAAGACAGTTCTAATTAATCATTTCTGAACAATAAAAACACGTTTTGCCCCCACAGAGAAACCCCACATTAATATATCTTGAGGCATATGTGAGTAAGCAAATGAGTAGCAAACAGCACGAATAGTAAACTAAGCACGTCTTTCTGTCGTATTGCAAATATTGCTTGATTCAATTTTCTGCAGACATGATCGATATGGACCTCCCAAGGCAAGGTTTTATCTATAAACATACCAAGGAGTTTCGCTATTTCCGAGAGTTCCACTGTGTTCCTTAACGCGAATCCTAAATGGATGGTTTTACTTTCATTCAAATCGCATTCGAATTCATAATATTCGAGCGAAGAAGTCAGAACAACCAACCTCTAATTTGTTAGTTAACAGTCACATGGATGTAGTTGAGGTTATGATAGAGAGATCTCACTATTGAATATTTTCAAACTCCAGAAATCCTACAAAATCCTGACACAACAACAAATGTTACTGCACCAAGTTCCACTTTCATTCAAAATAACAGTCAGTTTTCCTCAACGATGTTTTTTTATTTCAGCACGGGACGGTGGCGACGTCGAGCGAAACGAGCGTCGGGACGCAGCCTGGCGGCAGCGTCACCAGTAGGACAGCCTCCGAGACGCCACAACTGCCGTCCTCAACGAGCCACCACCACACGGGGGCCAAATTTCGACACGGCCTCCTCCAACTCATGATCCACACCATTGATCCTATGCACGATGGTCAGTATGCAGGTATCCCTTATCATTTTCAATTCTATCGGTGTTCGTGTGAACGTCGTGTTTGTTGCACCGTGTTGTTTTGTGTAGGGTGGTTGAAAGTTGTCGATTGTAATATTTTTTCAACAGTTAGGAAGGCAACCAAGAGGCTAAATGTTAGTACACCAACCTTTTAACCATCAGTTTCCATTGAGCTCATAACCATTCACAGAAAGTACTCATCTGGAATTATTGTCAACCCCCAAACTTTAAATGATCTGTGAAAATCTCAATTTAAAACTTATAAGGTGTTACTGAAGTTAGTGAACTACCTTTCAACCTTGAAAACATACCCAAAAAGTATTCGGTATCAACTCTCATAGCTCAGATAATCTGAGCCAATCCACCTTCTGAGTAAATACCAAGTGTCACTCAAGTTAGTGAACAGATTTTGTACCAACAGTGTTTCCATAAATCTATACAAAGGGTACTCACCTGAGAACTTTATCAATCCCCAGTTTGGAAAATGTAAAAAAATCATCCAGGAAAAAACAAACAAATCGTAATCAAGGTGATGAATAACCTTCTAACAGACACGTTTTCTGTGAGGTTGAAAAATACTCGCTAAGGAACATCACCAGCTCCTTATAACTCAGATAAAAACTGACGAGTGCTTCTCAAGGTAGTGAACTACCTTTCAACCACCAGTTTTTGTTGACGTTGGAATCATTCACACATACTCGTCTGAAATTATTGTTCACCTGTGAATTTTTAGAAAATCTGTGGAAATATTGAGTTGAAACTCATCAAGTGTTACTTAAGTTAGTGGACAACTTCTTAAAAGACCGTTTTTCTGTGAGACTTGAAACCATACCCAAAAAGTACCCTCCAGGATTTGCCTTTTGGGTGAATACCAAAAACGTCACTCAAAATGGTGAACAACCATTTAACCAACAGTGTTCCTATGAGACTTATGACCATACCCAAAAAGTACCTTCCAGGTTGTGCCTTTTGGATGAATACCAAAAGTGTCACTCAAAATAGTGAACAACCATTTAATCAACAGTGTTTCTATGAGACTTGAAATCATACCCAAAAAGTACCCTCCAGGATTCGCCTTAATCGACCATTATAGTCTGAAGAATCTAAAAAAATTCGTTATTGAGGTGAAAACAAACAAGTACTGAAGTTAATGAACAATATTCTGACCGACACGGTTTGTGTCAGAATCATTTACCGTTATTAATAAAAACAAATTTCACTTCTTTTGAGGGGATGGAAAAATGATTCCCCCTATGAATGTCTCCATGATCTCCTAATTTTTATACCGATGCCGCTTTCAACTGTCGAATAACTTCACAAAATACCAAATTGAAATCTTTCAACCACCCTGTATATTTTTAAGTTGATGTTGGTTTCGTGGTAGATGTGAGTTTGTGAGTTTTTGTAATATATTCGATCTGCGTATTGTTTCATATGTCATCAGTCATTCAGAATCAACGTTTTTAGATGTTTTTCGATATAAGTATGATGCTTTTGATATGAATTGATTTCCCTCCCCTACAGCTAAAATGATTCGAATTCCCTGAAAGAATCGATGAAATCAAAATGAATAGCTGAAAATAACAATTATATTGAGCAAAAAAACTCTGAAATGAAATAACAATAAAAGAAAACACAAGCAACAATTGAAAATTGAACGATTGAAAAGAAATAAAAAAAGTTTGCAAGCCAAATTACTCCGCTAAGTTTCGATTGTTAATATCCACAATTGTTTCCGGGTGATGACTGATATCATATCATCTTAGGGGTTCAACTCAGTACACCTCGAACTTCACTGTTTGAGATCTCTTCCATCTGGAGAACTGCGTTTATGTGGAATAAACTACCTGAAAACGTNNNTTTCAGAAAGGACAAAAACCAAGATAAATACATCTCAGTTCCATACCACCAATATACGAGGAACTTTGGAAAGATTTTCAAGGAACTAGGTATGAAGGTGGTTTTTAAAACAAGTCATACACTACAGAGCGTTTTGGGAAGTCCTAAAGACAAAGTCGAGAATTAGAAAAAGTCTGGAATTCACGAAATTGAATGTAAGGACTGCGATGCAAAATATTATGGACAGACAAATAGATCTATTAAAGTAAGATATAAGGAACACATAGCACACTTGAAATATGGAAGACCTGAAAAATCAGCAGTCGCCCATCATATTTTGCAACAAAACCATTCCATAGACTTCAGTTCATTGAGTTTATTCAGACAAGTTAACGGAAACAGGCATCTAGATGACTATGAGAGTGTAGAAATAAGTGAACATAATAATATTATAAATAACGATGGTTATTATATTAACGATAGTTATAGCTTGTTGAAATAATATTTCAATATCAGATTTACCTGGCTGTTAGATGAGGCTGTGAGAGTTCGAGGGCATATAGTCGAAGTAAACGATATAGTGCACATTTAAAGTTGGCGACGCTCTCAAAGGCCAAAAAAACCAATACATAGAAATCAACCGGCTGCGAACCAGTCCACGTGGACTGTAGAATTGGCAGTTCGCATTGGATAATTTTTACTAACCGAGTTTTATGATTGACTGAAGAGTCATAAAATTAAATTTGAAGTCATTTTACGGTGACGAATTCAAATCGGGGAATGCAGGGATGGTTATCGCCGTCGTGTCATGTTCAGTTCAGGAACTGATCGCAATTTGAGTGTTGAAATTTGATATTGGTGCAGTTATAATTACTTGAAATTTTTGTTATCTGTTTAAAACGTGGCGTCCTTGGACAAGTACTGACAGTAATAACGAGTGTGATAACAACGCAGACTTTTTCCAGTATAGTGATTCCAATGGCGATTGTGAACAATGCGAAAAAGAGATGCCAGTGAATAAGAGTATGTTTCAATGTATATAAGTATCTACATCTCGAATTTGGTTTCAACTGTTACAAAAGCAAGGAGATTCCTACAACTGAACTCATAAGGAAGAAATTGAATACTTCCGGCCATAACGTGAGCTGCTGTGACGAAACCCTTCAGAATTTGATGAAGAAACTAGGATTTAGATTTGAAATAATGAACGTCAAGCAGTTATGGAAAGCAGAAGTATAGTGGAATTGCATAAGAAGTACTTAAATCAAATAACTAAATATAGACAAGAACAACGGCAAATTTTCTATTTGGAGGAAACTCAGTATGACACTCACGATACAGTTACGAAAGGGTAGACTGATGGTTCGAGAATGTGTACGCCTTACATGCCTGCAAACAAAGGATCGCGACTAATCATTGTGCATTGCGGAGGAAGTAAAGGGTAAGTTACGAATTATTTCGAAAAAACTTAAGGGCTGCAATGTTAACTATCATGAGAACATGGAAGCTGATATTTTCGAGGAATGGTTTAGAAACACATTGATCCCAAATTTGGATGTGAATAGTGTAATATTTCCTATCATTCGCGACGGCTCATCAAAGTACCGAATAAAAATTCGAGGAAAGGTGAAATATAAAGTTTTTTGATGGATAACAATTTGTGTTCTGAAGATTACTTTACCAAAAACCAACTACTTGAAGTTTTACAGACGAAAACATTTGAAAAAGTGAATGCCATTGAGAGTATTGCTGAAAATTATAGATACAGCATACTGAGACTTCCACCCTATTTTTGTGTTTTCAATCCCATCGAGTTGGTTTGGGGAAAGTTGAAACAAAGCATCAGGCGTAAAAATAGTTTTCCAAAATTTGATAAGACGATAATAGAGCTAATTATAGAAGAAGTATCTGATATTACCGAAGAAGACTGGCAAAAAAGGATTAAAAAAGTAATTTCAGTTGAAATAGATTATATGGAGATTGGACACTTCCATATTAATGATGGAAATAAATTCATTACTGATTTATATGATGACAGTGATAGTGAAACAGAGAATATGAAAGAGGAATTATCAGAAGCTTCCGAAGAAAGTTGGTGAAGTGTTTTGAAGCGATCTATTACTTCTGTACTTCTGTATCTGAACTTTTCTTTCAAAGTTGAACTGAACCCTGTTATTTGAATCAGTACTTTCCCACTATAGCACTATATCGTTTACTTGAACTAACCAAAAAGTGCATATTACTACTGCTTCGATGATTTGAAAAAACACTGGAACAGGTGTATTATATTTGAGAGAGACTATTATGAAGGAAACAAAATTTAAAAATTGATGTTTACATGATTATTTTTGAGAAAAAATAAATTTCGTGGTTTTTTCTGAAATGAGAGCGGTAAAACTAACACACTTGGATCACTAAAGTGGTCCAAAGTTGACTACAATCCTGTATGTTCAACAACGACACTGCTTGAGAACTCTTTCATTTGGAGAACTGGCTTAGTGTGGAATAAATTTTCGCACATGCACCGCACAGTGCTTGTTTTCTGTTCATACAAAAATATTTCTATCATTAAACCCTTCTGTAGCTTTTCCCTGAAGGTGATAATGAATTCAATCGAAATATTGGAAAAACTTGCGTTATAATATTACACTTCCTTTCTGCTGTTTACTCAAAGATACTTCCTAAGTTCTAATGGGTTTGGTATCTCATAATTTAGACACATCCGAAGTTTCCTTCAGTAATTTCCTTACATCTAGCTGAAAATTTCACCTGAGGAAAATCACCCGGAGATGAAAACTAACCCAGAGTCTCTATAATCAACTATTTTCCATTCACAGGAACTTTGTTCTTCGCTCGATTTCTCCTTCATAATAATTTCCCGAAATAACAAAGGACTTGGAAAATGTAGTTATTACGGATTTCGCAAAGCATTTCATGTCTCTGTTGCTTGATAAATCCCCGTAATGGATGAGCCGTATGAACTTTGGGGAATTGCCAGGAGTTGTCGCTGTTAGGCATTAATACCTCCATAAATTTCGTTGCATTAATAATTTTGGTGGCTTGCATATATGGAACGCCGCTTGGTAGGGTGATTTATCTTAAGCTCAGAGAAAGAATTCATCGGAGATCGAACGTGCCTACTTTTCAATTACTTGGTAATTATTTTTCAATTATGAATGCGCTGACCTGTTTTGTCGGTGGTTTATGAATAAATGTAGGCAAGATCTCTATAGAAATATTATATAGAGCGATGAGGCAAATTTTTCAAATTGTAGGAATTACCGGGTGATTTTTTAGGACGCATAGAATTTGATTTTTAAAACAACACAAAAAATTTGAAAAAATTGTTTATTGAAATTGATATAACGACCAATATAATTTAATGTTTGAAGATGATTTCATGCAAATGTTGTCCGCGGCTCCGTTTTAGATGGCCCATGCGCAAGGTCCACTTATGGCACACTCTCTCTAACATATCGACCGGTATTTCACGTATAAATGCTTCTATATTGGCTTTCAGAGCATCAGTCGTCACTGGTTTATCCCTGAAGACATGAGCCTTAACATGACTCTACAAGAAATAATCCAAAGGCGTTAAATCACACGATCTAGGCGGCCAATTGACGGGCCCAAAACTGTTCACCGAAGGGGGCTCTTAATTGGACCATTGTTTCGCGTGCCGTGTGGCATGTGGCACCGTCTTGTTGAAACCACATGTCAGGCATGTCAAATTCTTCCATTTTTGGCAACTAAAAGTGTCAATCATCACACGGTAGCGCTCGCCATTCACAGTGACGTTCCGGCCATTGTCGTCTTTGAAGAAGTACGGCCCGATGATGCCACCGACCCATAATCCACACCAAACAGTGACTTTTTCGGGGGGCATCGGTAGCTCTTGCAATGCTTGTGGCTGGTCTTTACTCCAGATGCGGCAATTTTGCTTGTTAATTGCTTAATTCAACCAGAAATGAGCCTCGTCGCTGAACACAATTTTTCTATAAAAATGTGGATCTTCCTCCAACTTTGACAGGGCCCATTCACCAAATGTTAGACGTTGTGGGAGGTCGTGTGGCTTCACTTCAGGCACCAGCTGTGTCTTATAAGGTTTTACACCCAAATCCTTTCGCAAAATTTTCCACGTAGTGGAGTAACAAAGGCTCAATTGCTGCGAACGGCGGCGAATCGACATTTCACGGTCATCACGAACACTGGCGGATACAGCCGCAATATTTTCTTCGGCCCTCACTCTACGTATACGTGTTGGTGGTTTAATGTCCAATGATGTAAACTGGGTTCAAAATTTAGTCACAAGCTTCCGAATAGCTCCCTCAGTAGGCAGACGAAACTGCCCAAAAATTGGAAGAAGTACACAATGCACTTTCTTCACCAGCATTAATTTTGATAATAAAATTTAATACTTTGCAAGCGTTGTTCATTCGTAAGTCGATTCATGGTTAAATTATAGACCAAACTGAACAAGTTTGACAATGACACAAGACACGATTCACGCGTGATCTGTCAAAAACAGTGTTGCCAAAAAGATACCTCACTCATTATAATAGAAATAATTTTCATTATTGAAGTAGACATAATCCATTTTTAGTCCATTCCCACAATCCGCAAAGACGATTTAGTATAAATGTTTGGTGTGGTTCATTCAAAGGCAGAATTTTCAGTCCATTTTTCTATCATGGTTCTTTGAACGGATCCCTTCACAATAATTTATTAAAAAGAGTGTTAGAAGAGTTTTTCAATAATCTTGATCTTGAGGCTAGTCAGATGATCTATTTTCCGCAATATGGAGCACCAGCACATAATTTATGTTATTACGAATAGAAATGCATGATAAAATATAGAGTGTTCCATTTAAAAAAATATCATTTTATGAAATATTTTGAAAACGCAACTGTCATTATTTTTTGTTTTCGGCATCGAGAAGGACAATGAAAATGCTACTAGTTTGTCCATTCAACGGAATTCGTAGTATCAATAATAACGGTGTTGGCAATGGTGCCGACTTAATTTGGAACACCCTGTATATTATTTATTCATCAACTCTTTCACTCTAAGCAGATATTCAGAGATGTGTTTCGAGTGAAGATTAATTGAGTATCTAGATGGAGTTAAGTTTGCCTCCTATTTGCCTGTTTATTCCTGCACGTAGCAATACATATCCGTTTCTTACCTACTTTGAAACAAAAAAAATCATGTAAAACTTCTGAACGGACTGAACGTTCCACTGTTTTTGTTCCAGGTAAAGTGGACGAAAAGGCAACGCAACTCCACGCGATAGCATCGCTAAAGGTGCTGCTAGACGCTACGAAACCTCAAAACGGCGCTGCGACAAGCTCGGCAGCCAATCATATCAATACAGCGACCAAACAAGAGACTATGCTGGCGCCTTCCAGCATAGCGGACATGCCCAACGGCGTGGCCAGTGCCCTGACAGACATCAGTCTGGATGCGGTAAGTGCGAATCGTCGATCTTCAGCAAGCGAGCTTAAATTTTGTGGTCTTTGCTAAGAGCATTTGACTGAGTAAGCTCCTAGAGCAAGGGTAGAAAATTATGAGGGGTTTTTTTGGAATATCCATATTCTTTGGTTGGTAATTCACGAATTTTCATCATTTACTATTATTCATCAGTCAAATAGTGAGTTTTGATAAGTTTTCGACTGCACAATCTCATTTTTCTATCCATGATTGATTTCTTCATGTATAGCTAGGATCATCTAGATATGTTTTCAAAGTAGTGAAACTCAAAACCATTATCTACTACGGTTAGTGAAGAAGAGTAAGCATTGAAGCACGTACCATATAATTCGAATTTTCTCAAATGGTCACCAGACCAAGGTATCACGAATTTAATCACCATGGTGTAGAGCGAATACACGATGTCTTTCCTTAGGTGCGTCTGGCCAGATTCGGTACTACTTATGCCTTAATGTTCACTCTTTCTAGATGTTAGTTCCAGGTTAGCCTGGGATCTCTCATCACTCCCAGGTATGTAGCCTCTGACAGCTGCATCTGTTCGCCTCAAAGTTTTAGAGGTCCTAGGCTCTTCATCTTGGTCCTCTTGGAGAATGCTAGTGGGGAATAGTCTCTGCTATGGATTGCTTCCTACACAGACCTGTAAGGTGATGACAGATTCAACTGGATTTCCGGTATCTTCTGTACCACACTGTTTGTGGCCATGGATAACCTCCTAAATTCTACTTTACCTCAACTGATTTCTGGGAAGAGCCTTCTAGGAAAAACCTGCGACTCAATGCTTCATAGTGTTCTTATCCAGACTAGAGAGGACTGGATCCTCCGCGAGGTCACCAGACCAAGTCATCACGAATTTAATCACCATGGTGTAGAACGAATACACGATGTCTTTCCTTACGTGCGTCTGGCCAGATTCGGTACTACTTCTGCCTTAATGTTCACTCTTTCTAGATGTTAGTTCCAGGTTAGCCTGGGATGTTTCATCACTCCCAGGTATGTAGCCTCTGACAGCTGTATCTGTTCGCCTCAAAGTTTTAGAGGTCCTAGGCTCTTCATCTTGGTCCTCTTGGAGAATGCTAGTGGGGAATAGTCTCTGCTATGGATTGCTTCCTACACAGACCTGTAAGGTGATGACAGATTCAACTGGATTTCCGGTATCTTCTGTACCACACTGTTTGTGGCCATGGATAACCTCCTAAATTCTACTTTACCTCAACTGATTTCTGGGAAGAGCCTTCTAGGAAAAACCTGCGACTCAATGCTTCATAGTGTTCTTATCCAGACTAGAGAGGACTGGATCCTCCGCGAGGTCACCAGACCAAGTCATCACGAATTTAATCACCATGGTGTAGAACGAATACACGATGTCTTTCCTTACGTGCGTCTGGCCAGATTCGGTACTACTTCTGCCTTAATGTTCACTCTTTCTAGATGTTAGTTCCAGGTTAGCCTGGGATCTCCCATCACTCCCAGGTATGTAGCCTCTGACAGCTGTATCTGTTCGCCTCAAAGTTTTAGAGGTCCTAGGCTCTTCATCTTGATCCTCTTGGAGAATGCTAGTGGGGAATAGTCTCTGCTATGGATTGCTTCCTACACAGACCTGAAAGGTGATGAAGCTGCCGATTCCCTCGCAAAAAGAGGAAACGGTTTCTCCAGACCAGAAAATGTCATTGGCATCTATTTCGTTGGGCTTATATTCAGTTCTTTTTCCACGGTTCACCTTGTTATAATATTCAGGGTCTGCTGCATGATCCCCTCATTATGTTACCTCAGTATTTTTCCATTTTGTTCCACAATACGCAGTAACTCGGTACATAATAGTGGAGACAAAACTTCATCACCAGATACAATAAAGATCAATTGAAAGCTAGAAAAAGTACTTTCTTATGATAATTGTCAGACCAATGATCACGTACAGAGCCGAAATATTCACAACGAATGGTTGGTTCAAACGAAGCTTTCTGGTGTAAAGAGACAGATTCAACTGGATTTCCGGTATCTTCTGTACCACACCGTTTGTGGCCATGGATAACCTCCTAAATTCTACTTCACCTCAACTGATTTTTGGGAAGAGGCTTCTTGGAAAAACCTGCGACTTAATGCTTCATAGTGTTCTTATCCAGACTAGAGAGGACTGGATCCTCCGCGAGGTCACCAGACCAAGTTATCACGAATTTAATCACCATGGTGTAGAGACAATACACTATGTCTTTCCATAAGTGCGTCTGGCCAGATTCGGCACTACTTCTGCCTTAATGTTCACTCTTTCTAGATGATGGCTTCAGATTACCCTGGGATCTATCATCACACCCAGGTATGTAGTTTTAGAGGTCCTAGGCCCTTCATCTTGGTTCTCTTGGAGAATGATACAGTGGTCTATTTCGTTGGGCTCATAGTCAGTTATTTTTCCACTGTTCACCTTGTTATAATATTCAGGGTCTATTTTATTTCAAACTAAAATGACTGAGTCATCTGCATAGCCCAGTATTTTTTCCATTACTCCAGAAAAGGCAGTAACTCGTTACATAACAGTCTGGGCAAAACTTTATCACCAGATACAATAAAGATCAATTGAAAGCTGAAAAACTACTTTCATGTGATGATTGTCAGACCAATGATCACGTATAGAACCGAAATATTCACAACGAATGGTTCAAATGAAGCTTTCTGGTGTAAGAGACTCAACTGGATTTCCGGTATCTTCTGTACCACACCGTCTGTGGCCATGGATAACCTCCTAGATTCTACTTTTCCTCTACTGATTTCTGGAAAGGGCCTTCTTGGAAAAACCTGCGACTTAATGCTTCATAGGATACTTATCCCGGCTAGAGAGGACTGTATCCTCCGCTAGGTGAAAATGTTATGAACAGAAAGCCGTTGGTTCACAGATCGACAAGACCTTGGTTTCTGGTACAGGTATATACAGTTGCGGATCCAGGACAAATATCTATCTGTATAGGGACATAGGCATAGCTAAGCGGCTCAGGAATCACTTGTCTCCCACCAAGTAACGTCTAAGTTGATAGTGAACTACCTCAACGGTGAGACTTGGGGAATTGTCTCTGCTATGAAACGGTTTCGCCAGACCAGAACATGCCATCGGCATCGCTTTGGGCTTCTGAGAAAATTTACGAGGATGGGACCATTCCAAGCCATTTATACTCCCTTCGGCTTCCTTAAGGATCTGGTCTTCTTTCTCATAAATAAGACCACAAGTGCTAAGCTTGATTATTCTCTACTATATATGCGATATGATGGTCAGTAGCAATGTGGATTCTGAAAGTGAGGTGTGGTCCAAAACTTTCTGCTACTGGAAACAAAACATCTTATGAAATGTTGAGTTCAGTGATGTAAATGAGACTTTCCTTTTGGTTTCAAACTGAAAATCACCACTTTACCTTCTTGAGGTGGGAGTTAAAAGAGCCTCAAGGCAATTTGCTATCACTGAAGTTCTTAGTACATTGGAATCATCCGGGTGTGTTGAGGATGGCATTTTAATGGTTGATTCATCTTTAATCGATACAGCAGCCTCCTTTGTACCAGATGAAATACCAATATTCTCAAAAGAATCCTTTCCCAACATTAAAACCTTTCGAATGCGAATAATAATTCATCTGGTAGTCTGCATGTCATAACTAATTAACTTTTTTTGACATCTCATGAAGCAACAGTCAGTAAACTAGCTCCCAAAACCCAAATTCGTCAATGTTGGGTTCGCGAAACTGAAAATAGAGTGATTCCACTCATCACCTCCACTAAGAAGATCAGATAAATTAATTTCGTGGCGTTTGCTAGAGACGAAGAACGTTAAATTATTTCAGATTGTCAACATCATTAGTATTGATGACAAACATTTATTACGGAAAATGTAATAGTTTTAGATTCGCCCACATCAGACAAAACAAGCCTAAAAGACGTTTGATCTTTTTCAACTTGCACCTGGTGATTGACTGCTTTTGAACAAAATATTTTCTCAAAGTCCTGAACTTACTCTGTAAGTAACTAACCTGTTACTTACACCTTCATAATTCTTCAAAACATATCCATCAATTTGTTTTTTGTCACAGATATTTCCCAAATTTGTTTCATTTCAGACCACTTGAGAATTTATAAAATTCTCTTTCTATCGATGTTCCACAAGTGACCGTTTCTATTTAAAATAGCAGCGTAAATGCCATTTCCTTCAAATTCAATATGGTGGCACTACAACGTCCTCTATAAAAATACTCTCAAACAAGTTGATGTAATGAGAAACAAAAAGGAAGTTTAGATTTTGGAAAAAATTTGAGGACTGGAATTTTTCACCAATTCACGTACTTTTCATTTTTTCAATGTGATTTTTTACTTCATTCAACTCGAAAAACTTATTAGGCAGTAGTATTTTTAAAACCTTGACATCACAGTGTACTTCTATCACAGAAAAATGTCAAAGGGACTATGCGGTTCATTCGTCTGCGCCAATAAAAAAGTGAAAGTTTAAGCTGCTCTCTATCATGCTGGGTTATTGATTACTCACTTACTGGCACAGAAAAAACCCGCATAGTATATTTGATCTTCACTTAGTGAAAGAGGTACCCTTCAGTGTGAAGGATTCAAAAAATGAATGAAAAGTACAGGAGAGTTTTCAGTTTTCAATGAAAACTGAAAATGTCTTCCTTAGTTTCTCACTTCAAAAATATTCCCATAGATGACGCCACCATTTTGAACAGTATGCTACCTGTAGTATGCACTATGCATACTACACTATGTCCGTTACCCCATAGTCTTTGTTGATATCTACCGCAGTCGTAGACGAAACAGCGAGCACAATCACCTGCAAACCACCACCGACTGACCAGAAAAGTAAATTTCACACAATTTCGAATATTTTTACTTTCAAAAACTGTGTATTCTCCCAAGCTTGGCCCAGTTTGACATTAGGAGCTATTCATAAATTGGTAGAATTTTATTTTCTCTTCTATTTTGTGGCAATGTGTGGA